GAGACCAAAATAGAGAGCCTTCGCTGCTGTCTTTTACGTTAATGGGTAAACAGGCGGTCGTCAAAGGCCCGATCAAAATCACCGCCAACAATGCACTTTATCAATCTTTTTTATCTCACTTGGAATCAATCTCGCAAAGCTATCGATCATGACTTGGTCTGGGGGCTTTTCAATGCATCACTGTCATGCATACTTCCGAATCTTATCCGACCAGTTACATCTACCTTTCAAGCGAATACTTATTGATGCATCAAAAATCAAAATCTCATGGTACGGTAAATGGTAGTGCGAGTGTATCGACAACCTAGTTCTTACAGTTCCTTTTGCAACTCGTAATCGGAAGTCAAGTCAAAAAGTTGCAACATACATGTTCATTATAGCCATGACTTTTTAGTTCGGAGGAGAATAGTCCTTGCAAACGATTCTAGCATGCAATAAAACATAATGAGTGTGGGTACTCTGTCTGCATAACGGTCCCAATCTTCCACGAGTTTGAGCAGGCTAGGCAGTGACGTCGTTGTTGATACCTGTTTCAAAATCACCAGTCAATGTCTTGTTCGTGAATAAAGTCAACAATACGACTTCGCAACTCTTTGAACAGCTCATTCGGAATCATAATTTTGGCTTGCGGAGTTAACGCCTCGACCATCTGCTGTATGGGAACATCTTGCGGCTCCGGTAGTTCGTTGGAGCCAGCCGGAGCACCTGTTTTAACCCCCGGTCCGCTTGCGCTGTGATTTCTGAGGTATTCACGTGCCATGTCCAAAACCCTCTCGCACCATCCTAGCTCAGACAGTCGCCCGGGAATGTAGGCGGTCAGACGCATCAGTTCCCCGGTCGTTTGCAGACGACGTACAACTTTTTCCACTAAATCATTCGGTGGTTCAGATGTGAGACGTGTTGGATATGGCATATCCGCTGGGGAAATAGGCATGATTCCAGATTTGATTGTATGTGACTTTGTAGGTTTGGTTTAACTATTTGTAAAGCTTTCGCGTTCAGTCGATATGCGAAGTGAAATTGATCCCCATAGATCACCTGATCACTGACTAAGATCAAATCACGTGAAGAAAATAGCTATGGGATGAAACTGTATCACCGGTCCCAACTAATCTTTCATTCATTACTGAGATATAAAAATTGTATTAGAAAAAATAACACATACAGTTGTTTGACAAATTCACTGAAAGTTTTCAGTAGTGAAAAAATAAAAAACTTCTGTGGAATTCGACATCTTTTATTGTCTGTAGTATTTATAAATGTCCAACAAATTAGAAGATTTAGGCTTTGAGAAATTGAATTTGAAAGGAGTTATTGGATTCTATGGCGGCGTTAAACGTGGATTCTCTGTTCACCCGGACAGACAAAATTACGTTTTCCCGGCGGTCATAGAACACATCGTAACAAAGAAACAAGAATTCTTGCAAGGACATACGAATAACATTGTCTGTTTGGACGTTAGCAAGACCACACCACTGGTGCACCTGGCACATCATTTTTGTAGCACATGTCTAGATAACTGCCTCATGTTTCTCAGATAACAAACAAGCAGCTGTCATGTATTTCAATGAAAGCGTTGAAAAACGTATCTCATTTTATGACATAAATCCCAATTTTGCTTCAGGCATTACGACTATAGTTGCAACTCTATGTTGCCGACTAATTAAAATGGAAAAATAGGGTCAACACCGGCTCTGAAAAGCAGAATCCATTGGAGAATTCGGGATTCTCGAGACGACAATTTTTAGTGTTTCCTAAGTGATTGGATTTAAATGCAACTTTGCTGTTCAATTGTAACTTTGTATTTCAGAGCCAGTGTTAAGTTCTTTGTCAAATGTATCTTTCAACTCTCGAAAATTTTCATTAGAAGCGAAGCAAGTGGTTACATTCGAGGAAGTCATGGTCTCGGTGGGATTTTCGAGGACCTAAGCCGTGACAGCCTATCCAATGTTTCATGTCCACAGGCATGCTTGATCATGGTATCAGATTATCGATTCATCTTGTAGCGACTAGCATTTCTCACCTGATCGATCGAGGTCAGTTGCCGTAATGTGTTCATTCGGTCTCGGTCACCCAACGAGCGCAACAGATCCCAGCATTAGTGCACACACACACATAACTTAAGTCACATCATCAATCGGACAACCTGTGTCTGGTAGAGGATAACCCATCCTATTTGAGAAGAAGTAACGATATATCTAGCATAGCATAACAAGTGTCCTACCGCAAAACTTGATTACAAAATGAGACGCTGTGCATTTTAACCCGGACTCTGAGGGAACTGACGGTCACCCCAGTAAAGTATGGATTGATCACGTTAACAACAGTCACTAGATCGTCCCCAGAATAGGTCATTGTCATCTGCGTTGTCCCTAATGAACAGATGCGCACACGTGTGTGGAGGGAGACTGTGCGTGCATGGGCTCGTGCACCAGAGCTTGGTTCAGACCACGCAGAAATCTGAGCTAATGGTACATAATTTCTAATTACTGTTTGTCTGTAGTAGTGAAACTGAGAATTCGACTAAAGTCGTTTGAGAATCTCACCGTTTGGTGTACAAGCACTTCTGATATATATATATATATATATATATATATATATATATATATATATATATACATCACTTGTGGTTCCGTGCATTTTCTCAGAGGTGTGCAATCGACTGCCGTAAGATTCTTTAAACGTCCTACACGACCTGTCAGCGAAACCTCCAGCTCAATTATTTAACTACGCTGACGCATAACCCTTTACAAGCCATTTTTGTGCCTGTAGACCTGAATTTCTCCAGTATATCCACGAGTTCTCCGTGCGTTCTGGACTGTCTCTTGAGTTATTCAAGTGCTTCGAATATACTTTTACCCTCTTTTGATCTGTTTAGTTACATGACCCCTCGGTCATAAACACAGGCCCTATAACTATAGTAGATTCCGCTAAGTATTTAGGAGTTACTATTGAAACAAGCTCAAAGTGGTCATCCCATATTTACAGCTGTGTAAAGAAACTTCATCAATTATCTTTTGAACTTCGAAACAAAATCCACGACTCGATCTCACCCATTCGCTATCATTAACTCCTACTATCTTCAAACTTGCATTCCGTCCGGAGTGATTCAATTAACTTAGAGGCGTGAGTCTCACTTAAGCAAATGAAAATCCAACATTTTTTGATCGATAACAGATTTGACGAAGGATAGCAGCTCGGATACATGCGCGAAAACAACTTACAAAAGACCGCAGACCAAGGAGCATTTGGTTTGGAATGATATATTCAGCAGGATTGTTTACCGATTTTACGTCGTTCACTGGTATTGTATTGTATAGTGTATAACTTTTGCAAGCACTGGAGCTCACATTTCAGTTTAAAAAAAAACACGCTAACCGTCCCTATGTACATAATCAACGGGAAGAAAAGTTTTCACAGGCATGAACACATTCATAATCCAGCGTTAAGACAAAGTTCACTTATTGTTCGCTCTTTGTTTGTGAGTAGACGAGCAAGATACGGTATGGAAGAATTGCGGTATGCATTAATTCGAGATGAAATTTGGCGGAATTGGAAGCGTGTTGAATGATGGGAATGACAAAGTGTCAGTTCTGCATGCAATGTGTGGTCCGGATCCGTGAGAATCCTCTCGGCAAATTTCACACAGGAAGTTACTTGATACTCGGAAAGCTTTACAGCTAATTCATTCACAGGAATGGAAGAGACACGACTAATAATGGTTAGGCCGCGGCGTAAGACTTTGAAGTCCTGTTTGAGTAAACCAGGAAAAATAACCGGGGAACAGTAGAGTAAGATGGGGAAAACATATTGATAAACAAAAGTAGAAATAACTGACCGGGATGCGCGAAACTGCCTGGGCTTTCGTATTTGAAATGAAAGGCTTCGCAGTTTATCAATGCAGTTGTGGATGTGGGTAGACCAATAAAGATTGCTATCTATGGTTACACCAAGTATTTGACAGAGTTCACCCTGGATAAAGGATTGTTATTAATCACTGTGGGGTCTGTCGGA